TAAATGTTTAAACCTAAACATTTAAATGCCATATTCAGCAGACCTCGGAAATGTTCGAGGACCACAGTCTACTGAGTACACACGAGGCACAAGCTTTGTTTCTAGTGACCTGCTTCAGACCCTGACCTGGAAACACGTACAGGAAGCTGGATGAAGCTGTAAATAGCTTCAATAGTTTGCAGTAAATAGCTGCAAACACACAAGAGAAAGTTTATGTGTACATAACAGTCATATAGGCTTTGAGACAGTATACCTTAAAAAGTTGGAGGGTCAAAGGAAAAAGGGTTATGAGATCAGTGGCAGCAGAGCAGTCCCTTATTTCTTGTTTTCCTCTGTCCCATACCAGGTGGCTCTTCTGACATGAGACAGAGATTTTGAACTTTCCTTAAACAAGCATAAATGGATTTAGAGAAGGAGAGAGCCATGCTCCAACCTCAAAGCCAGCTTGAATTTTTAATGTGAATTGGGACTACGTAAAGACCATTTGCCACTGATGTCTGTTTAGGGCAGAAGAGACAAGATGGAGGTGGGCGATACCACTTGGCCAAATTACTCTTCTATTTGTCACATTTTCTCTGGATAATTGGTGCTTTTTCTTCAGATGTTTCATTTGTTTAGTGGTCTCTGGATTCCTTAGATGTTTTTATTCTCCAGGAAAGACAAAAACAAAACCCTGCCCGAACCCTAACTCTGGGGTTTCTTTTTTGATGGGATATATCTTTCCTAGGTCAAAATGTTTTCTGTAATAGAAAAAGTATTATCTCTCAATTGAAATAAAAAAAATTCTTTTAAAAATTTGAAATTAAATATACTGTTAAGTATATATATTTTTAGATTATAAAGGACATTGATATTAAATTTTAGCCTGCCTTTTGTAAGTTTCTTTTAAAATTAAATCATTGTAATTCCTTTGTGCCTGCCTTTGTCTCCCAAGTGTTGGGATCAAAGGTGTGAAACAACACCACCCTGTTCTTGTAATCCTAGAATTAGGAAGCAACTAACTGGTAGGGATCTGCCGTCTCTGCTGGGGTTAAAGGCTTGGGCTACCACTGCCCTGCTCAGATTTTTATCTTAGCTCCAAACTGTTACTCAAAACATTTAAAATCTCCTAACTGAGGACTGGAGAGATGGCTCAGAAGTTAAGAACACTAGCTGTTCTTCCAGAGGTCCTGAGTTCAATTCTCAGCAATCACATGGTGGCTCACAACCATCTAGAATGATATCTGTATGCATTGTAAATAAATAAATCTTTTAAAAAAAAGGAAAGAAAAGCTTTAAAAAAATACTAAGCAACAAAAATATCCTTTTTATTTGAGAAGAAAACTGTAGTCTTCATATGATAGTTTGAACTGAATTACCAAGCTCTCTGAGGAACTATCCCCTCTCTTTATTCAGATCTTTCCATCTTTATCAGTTTAGATGGTATCCACAGCCTTTTTTCCCCCATGGAAACAAAGGCAAACCTCTTCTCCAGCATAGCACATATCCTGGTTTCCATTCTTAGGCCAACACAGCTTTAAAATATACAGGCTGATTTAATTCGGCAGTTTTTTCTATCATCCAGTGTTTCTTTGCAGCTGTTCTCTTTTCATTAGCATTTAAAAATTTTAAAGTTAGTAAAGCACTATGTAAAAAAAGATAATAAAAAGAAAAGCACTGTATAATCTACTTGTGGGGTCTTTATCACCTTTCCTGTTTATTAAGCATGTCTTTTAAAGTGCGATTAGATCTTTCTATAACTGCTTGTCCTGTAGGATTGTGTGGTATACCTTTAATATGCTTTATGTTGTAATGTGCAAAAAACGGTTTCATTTTACTGGAGACGGATGCTAGAGCATAGTCTTAATTTGTACAGGTGTCCCCATAATAGCCATAACTTCTAACAAATAATTACAGAATCAGCCTTTTCAGAACTTAAAGCATTTGGCAACTGAAATCCTGAATATGTATCTGTGGTATGATACACATACTTTAGTTTTCCAAACTCTGCAAAATAAACACATCCATTTGCCAAATGTAATTTCTTTGGGCACCTTTTAGTTTAGTTCCTGCAGGTAATGGAGTGTGGTTATACAAAGAACAAGTAGGACATTGCCTTACATTTTCCTTAGCTTGTTGCCAAGTGATAGAAAAATCTTTCTTCAAACCTTTGCTGCTAACATGGTGTTTCTTATGAAATCCTATGTATATGTATATATATTATATATATCCAAAGATTCAGTACTTAAACCTATAACTAATGATCCCTTATGAAAAGAAAATCCTAATCTCTTCACATATACATACAAACCTAAGTGATTTATTACTGTAGCTGACTTTGACAGAAGTAAAACATGGATCATCTGTTTTACCACCTAGCTCTTAAATATGTTTATTCATTAATAATTAGTAGTTTCTAGACTGTTATTTCCAAGGCCAAACATTAAACAAACATGTTTAAACTCAAACTAACGATCTCAATAAAACTGATAAAAGGCTTTCAAATCTGAGACCTATTCATAATTTGGCAACTAAACTGCTCAATAAATTAATAAATTTACCCTTGTTTACAAAAAAGGGTAACTCCTCCTTCAGTTTGAAACACAGAGAATTTCATATTAATGCTCTTTTATTTAGTTTATTTAATTGTGTTTGTGGGCGTAGGCACATGTCTGCATACAGATATGCACACACACAGGCCAGAAGAGGGCTTGAGTGTCCATCACTGACCCTTAATCTGAGGCCCACTCTCAGCTAAGCAGGAAGCCAGTAGGCCCTCACAATCCTCTGTCTTTCCTGACCCAGGTCATATACTTACCCAATGCTTGGATCCAATCCCTGGTCTTCATGATAGCTAAACAAGTGCTCTTAACTAACTACTGAGCCATCTCTCCGGCCTCTATCTATCATTCATTCATTTGTTTATTTCCAGAAAGGGTCTCCTTTGTACAGGCTGGCCTCGAGCTTGCTATGTAGCTAGGGTGACATTAGACTCGCAATCCTGGGTTTACGGACATGCACCACCGCGCTAGCCTTACACATGCTGGGGATAGAACTGCAGGCTTGTGCATGCTAGGCAAGCGTGGTACCATGCTGAGCTATATTCTCAGCCCCTGCAGTCTCTTCTTGTTTCAACTGACTTTTGTTTCCTTAGATTAAATGAAAACGTGACAGAATTTCTAGGCTCCCTCTCGTCCGAATACATATTTGAGGATAGGATTCTAATAATCAGGAAAACCACTCTTCCATGATGGAAGAGGGCCAGAAGGACCCTCTGTGATTCTTTCTCCAGAGTCTGTGCCAGCAATGTGGAGTTAGTGTGGAGGTCTAGCAATGGCAAAGACGGTCTTCAGAGTGAAGTCCTGAACATTCTTCTGGCAGGCAGCAGAGTATGCCCTGTGAAGATGCTTGTTGACACTCCTTCTCCTGCTGCTTGGGATCAGGGTTGGAAACGGCTCCCACAGTACCTTAAGAACAGCTGTCTGCCCTCATAGAAGATTCTTTGTGGACTCCTGTGGGTTAAACTGAGAAAATATTAATAAGAAAAAGATCGTTACCGATTGACTACAGAGTAGACTCCTGGGCTAGGACGTTTTTGATCTCTTTTGGTATTTAGAGAGGAAAGTGTACAAATAAGAGTATTAGTCCTGTGATTCTGCCCTTGACAGACAAAGGGACATACCTTGAGCCTTAATTTCCTTTTCTAGAAAGCAAGACAGTTAGATTGTATGCCTGCAAGCATTTACACTAGTCTGAAGTTACCTGACAACTGTTGTCGCGATAGGAAAGACTGCCACTTTTGGATGGCTATAATTTGCCCTTCTCTTTCAAGACAGTTAGGGTTTACTGGGGCACATGAGATTTCTGCCACAAACCTAGGATGCTATGCCTCACCTCAGGCCCCAAACAAGAAAGCCAAGCGAACTTGGGCTGAAACTCTAAACTGTGAGCCAAAATAAACCTTTCCTCCTTGAACTGGTGATAGCCCCACGCATTTTTGGTACTTACCTAAGATTGGCTCACCAATCCTGAGAGATTGAGGGGAATGTCTTGGAGGGTGAACTTGTGAGGGAGGTCCTACTGCACGGAGGAGGACCTGAGAAATGTCTGTTACCATTTCAAGATCTACTCTTTTTTCCTTGTCTAGCTAAGGCTTCCCAGTGAACCTATTACAATTTCTTTTTAGCCAGAGTCACAGTTGGCCCAGGCTAACTCAGGACAAATCGCAATTCTTTCATTATTATATAAGGTGGAGACAGCTCTGACTTTGAAGTGCCAGAGCTGGGAGTTCAATATCTGACTGTGTCATTTAAAATTTTTTTCAGATGGTGGTTAACCTTTCCTCCCTCAGAGTTCTCATCCACAAAGTGGCAGTACCTAAGTACCTACCTTAAATTTGTACCAGTATCAATCAAGCTGCTAGGCAGAAGAGCCTCTCATAATGAGAACAGCATGCATCTGTCTCCATTACACTTGTGTTTCGTTGAGGACACTGGGAGGATTCGCTTTGTATGGTAAAAACAGCACACAGGTTTAAGCACCAGAGTCTGGTTCGCTGCGCTGGGGCTCTGTGCCCCTGCAGCTTGCGCACGCCTGGAGGAAGAGCGGTAGCTGTAGTCTTAGTCACAGTTCTGTCGCTATGAGGAGACGCCGTGACCAAGGCATTATAGAGAAAACATGTGATTATAAACGAAAGCATGCAATTTGGGGGCTTAATTACCGTTTTAGAAGGTTAGTCCATGATCAGCACGGCAGGCGGCAGGCACAATGCTGGGGCAGTATCTGAGAGCTTGATGTCCTTATCTGCAGGCAGCAGCAGAGAGAGACTGGGCCTGGCACGGGCGTTTGAAACCTCAAACCCATCCGAGTGACACACCTCCTCCCACAAGGCCAGTTCTTTCCAAACAGTTCATCTTCTGGAGAGTAGGCCCGAAAACACATGAGTCAGCGGGGCCATTCTCACTCAAGCCGCTACAGCTACCTTGCAGGTTTCTCCTGAAGCATCCTTTTGTGTCTTACAGGAATCTGAATTTCTGTGTCTGGAATTTGACGAAGTTAAGGTCAAGCAAATCCTGAAGAAGCTGTCAGAGGTAGAAGAGAGTATCAACACGCTGATGCAGGCAGCCTAGCAGAAGGTGACGCAGGAAGGCGTCTTGAAATGCAGGTGTTCATGGGCTTTCCTGCTTCCTCATTGGTGTTACCAAAAGACATTGTATACATGTATGAAAGTTTCAAAGAATAAATAAAAAAATATTTTAAAAAGTGGCTAAAAACAAAAACCCTCAAATTCAAATCTTGCTTGTCTCTGCTTGCTGGGCTCTTTTACTTTCACATCTGTTCCATTGGAGAGGTTCCCATATTTTAGCGTGCATAAAGATTATGAGGGATACTTACAAAACAAACAAACAAACAAACAAACAAACAAACAAACAAAACAAAACAAAAACCCTGAAACTTGCCAGGCATTGGTACCACACGCCTTTAATCCCAGCACTCAGGAGTCGGAGGCAGATGGATCTCTATGAGTTCAGTCCAGCCTGGTTTACAGAGCTAGTTCCGGGACAGCTAGGGCTACACAAAGAAACTCTGTCTCGACAAACAAAACAAAAACCAAAAAACTGAAATTGAAAAGGAGGCTGCTGGGGGTACAGTGCCATTGTAAAGCCCTCGTTTAGCACTAGAGGAGGCGGGGCAGATGTCTGGGGCCGCATACTCGGAGCCTCAGATTCAGTGGGACTGACACTTTGGAATTTTTTCCAACTGTTGTGTTCTCCTGGAGAGCTGTTAGTAATTCCTACATGCACGCTACGTATCACGTTCCGGGCAGGCTTTCTCCTCCTCAGGAAACCAGGAAAGCGCTGTATTCTTGCAGGAAGCGTTCATCAGAACCGCGTGCTCTCGGCTGCAGCCTGGTGGGATCTGCCCACAGAGATAAGACCAGCTGGAACCTAGTGAGGTCCTCTAGGGCTGACCGACATAGGTGAATTAGGGTTGTGTAAATCTAGAGGTTGGGTTGATCTGAGTAGGAACACTCAAGCTTTTTGAAAATGACCTTTATATTCTGTGGGTGTAGGCCCGAGAGGTGGGCACAGGTGCCACAGAAGACCCGGGGAAGGCAGAAGACAAGGAGATGCAGTTCTGCCCTTCCATAAGGTGGGCTCGGGGGCTCGAACTCTGGTTGTCAGGCATGGCGGCAAGCACCTGTCTGGCAGGGTGCACGTGTGCGTGCCCACGCATGGCAGGAAGCATGTAATGAAGCAGAATCACACACCTGCAGTGAGGAAGCTCAGAGAGACTGGAAAGAAATAGGGTTCCGAACTCTCTCAAGGGTGTGTCCCTACTCACACAAATCCCTTCACTGGTTCCCACCTCCTGACAGTCCCACCTCCCAGCAGCAGCTCAGGCAATGACCAAGCCTTCAGCTCCAGCCTCTTGGGAAATATCCAGGACCACCACAGCAAGCAAGTATCAAGAATCTTCCAATGGAAGAAGGCTTTGGTTCTGGTTAAACACCACGGTCATCTGATACTGACCTGTGAGTTACACTTTTAAAGTGCTGTTCTCCTGGCCTGTGGTAGCAGGACTTCAGCTCTACTCAGTCTACCACAGCTCTTCTGTAACTTGTGAATCAGCTTGGAGACACTTGCAAAGCTTCCAACATCCCATCTGAAAGCACTGGCTCCTTCCCTCATTGAAGGGAAGAAATGAAGCGCTGGCCAGAGGCTTTGGATGTAGCCCCCGAGAACCCTTCAGAAAATATCTTGAACTGATATTTAGAGTGGATCCAGAAAAAGTATGTGGTTTGGAACAGAAAGCTGTGCAAGCATCTGTCTATTCCTAGGGCACTCCCACATGGTCTAGAATTCAGATAATGTGTCCTGCTGTAAAATGGAGGGAGAGAGTGTTTCATCAGATAATGGGGTCTCCGGCAGCCTTGGGAGGAAGGACTGCAGCCGCCCCGGAGCGTCCCTCCAGTCTGTGTCCACTTACTGCTGAGTCACCCCATCGCAAGTAATAGCCACACACATGGCGCAGGCCCCTTCAAATCAAGTCTCCAAACCCTGGGACATTAGAAAAACTGCTTATATTGAGTTTTCTAAAATATTTTCTTAGGAAACAAAACTGGTTTATGAAGGTGGTCTCCACATTTCATATTATATACTTTTGAATGAAAGTTGTTTTGGGCAAGGTATATATTTATATACCAGGAATAAACTATACTATAATACATTATGAAAATATAGAAACATACCAAGAAAATCAGTTAAATGACCCATCAACCAAACATACAAAGATACCAAGAAGAATCCAGAAAAAAGTGGTTCTTCCCTGTGTTTTTGGAAGCAGAGTGTGTGCTTTGGGGGTTTGGAAAAGCATTGCCAGAGGCTTTCTGAAGTGCAGCCTGCTGCTTCCCCCAGACAGTATGAGGGATCCACTCCCTTATGGATGACGGGATATTATCCTTTCTGTGTGTTTTCTAGAACAGTTGTTTTGGTACAGTTTTGTAAGGGACAGTCTTTCTTGAGAGAGCCCACTGAGTTTTCTACACCTGTAATCCTAGAGCTATGACTGTTGGCCTGAGCCAGGCCTCATGGGAGCCATTCCCGCTGTGGTAATCATCATTTATCAGAATCCCAGCCAGAAGTTAGCTTCCAGAATAAGTCAGAAGGACCCTGCCTAGGCTCTGATGGCTTTGTGTTGCTGAGTGTAAGGCCTGGCTGTCCCCTTAGGTCTGCTGTTGGAAGCTCCGGCTCACAGCAGCTTCATCAGCTGAGGACCACGTTCCACCACTGTTGACTTCCCTCTGTGATCTCTTCTAAGAGAATCACAGCATTTAAAAAGCTGGAGCTTAACTCTTCTCCCCAAATGCAAGGGGGCGGAAGAGAGCAGAGGCTGACGTGAGTACCTGAAGTCTTAAATAGCTGACATCTTGTCAAGCTATTCATTATTGAAGTTCTTTCTTTAGAACTGGCTGAAAGCTTGGAGAACAGAGTATAAATAGAAGTTCAAGGAAAATGAATGTTGACAGATAGAAAATGTCTTGTAGTGTGCACAGTTAACTTCCAGAGCAGCGAGAGGGATAGGATACAGAAGGGACCTTAGGAGGGTGCTGGGCCCTAATGCAGGGTGTCTTGCTCTCACCACTACAGACAAGATGTTTTAGATCGGGTTTTGCCTCAGTAGTGTGAACCTACTAGCTGGTAGCCGAAGCTGGACTCTAGTTGACCCAAATTTGAGAAATAGCAAATTTCATCTGAGTTTGAGTGGTTTCCCCCTCGGATGGAGGTGGCCATTCTCTCTCGTTGCATCACAGCAGTATGAACACCCAGCGAAGCTCTGGGCTAGAGCCACCGACTCACAAGGAAACCCCGTCTCTAATGGCAAAACAAACAGAACAGACAGCAAGAACCTCACAGGGTGGGCACTGGGGAAACGGCCCAGCGGGCAAGAGCGCTTGCTCTGCAGCGTGAGGACCTGAGTTGGGTTCTGAGCAGCTGCATGACCAGCTGAGTGTGGCCATGTTTGCCTGGAGGGAAGAGACCGGAGGGAGGGTCCGTGGAGCTTGTGGCTACCAGCCTAGCTGCAGGTTCAGTGAGAAACCCTACCTGGAAGGAATAAGGGGGAGGGAGAAGAGTAATAGACCTGAAGACCTGGAGTTTCTGGTCTATGCATATATGTCCAGGTGTGCACACCTACACGCATGGACCCACACAACACACACACACACACACACACACACACACACACACACACACACACACACATCTTTCCGGAGCCCAGGGTCAGCTTCTTCCCTGTGGAACGTCCAGGCACCGACCCTGGACTTGAAGGGTGGGAGGATTGGGTGAGGGTGGCGGGTGGAGATAGTGATGCGAAGAAGGGTTGGGAGACTTCTCCAGTGCAGCCCTTTAGTGACATAGCTCTTCCAGTGACATGGCTCTCTTCATGGGGGAGGGGATCAGGGCTATATAAACCTGGGGGGTGGGGGAACTGGGGTGAGGGTACAGCGTTGGCTGGGGCTGGGTACACGGGAGGAATTCAAGGTGCTGGCTGGACATGTCCTTATGAGGAACCTGAAGCCAGGTCACCGAGCTAGGTGACGCCTTGGGAAAAGTCGGAGGTAGGGGTCGCAAGGCTATGTGTGCCAGGACAGGGAAGGAGTCGCCCGCCCTTACTCTTGCTGATCTCAAGGTGGGATTTTCGGGGTTTGGATAGGTCTGGCTCGACCTCACTCTTGCTCTATGCCAGTTCCCCCTTGCACAGTTCACATGCCCCTCCCCCCAAACAAAATAAGCTACATTAATAAAAGCTTTATTGTTTTTAACTGTGTAGATGTATGTATCCATGTGTGGACACGTCCATGTGTCTTCCAGATCCCGAAGAGGCCGGGACATTGGCTCTCTCTGGAGTTACAGCGGTCGTAAACCGCCTGACAGCGGTGTTGGTCATGGGAGAGCAGCGCTCGTGCTGAGCCAGCTCCCCGGTCGGAACTTTCTCCGCGTGGATTTTGTATGTGGGCTGCGTGAAGCGCTGCGAGGCTCACCTCACCCCCGTGCCTGCTGAACTTGCCCACCATCCATGCACCTCTTTTTTCTCTTCCCCGAATCTGTGAGCTTCATAAGGGCAGGGAACGTTTATTACATGTCTTGATGCAGAGACCTGCTCCCTGTGCCCCGAGCACCAGAGTTCGCTTTACACATATTCCCGAGAGGATCTGTAAATATACACATCAGGAGAGAAGCTAATTGAGCTGAGCATGAACCAAATCCGTGGTTTCCATTTGTAAGGCAAAGAAAGCATGAGAGCCCAGGAGGCTTGGCTCTGCCTCACAGCGCTGCTCAGCCTCCTCAGGTGAGCTCACCCTGGTCATCTGAGGAGGAGGAGGAGTGTGACTGACAAGTGATGTTAGGTATGAGTGGGACTTGGGGGACCCTGTCTCCAAAGAGGAAAACAGAAACAACTAAAAAGACACATCACATAGAAACCTAACGGTGACCTAACTGGGCCAAAGTCTGGCCTTTTACCTACCACTACATGACTGTCAGCTCAACAGCTCTGTGGCTCCTTTTCTCCACTTGTCTGAAAGAACCAGCAAGTGATACTACAGCAGTGCCCACCTCATGCATGTTGGGTGCTTCATGAGTGAACCTACTTCCGCTCTTGAGTAGTCTTTCACTTGGAATCAGTGCATGAGAGCCTTTGCTGCTGCTGGCACTCGTGGAACTGTCCCCAGAGCCACGCCGGTGACCTGAACTGTTCTCGTGAGTCGGGAGCCACTGACGCGCT